CCAAGAGTTCACACCGTTAAAAAAAAAAAAAAAAAAAAAAAGCCAGGTGTGATGGCACATGCTCATAATTCCAATACTCTGGCAGGCCCAGACAGGAGGATTACAAGTTCAAAGTCAGTTTGGGCTACACAATGAGACCCTCTCTCAAAAACAAAAGGCCACTGTTTGATGTCATCATTCCATACCTAGATATATCTATCCTCTATCACCATTCATATCTGTTTATGTTGACAAAATAGTAATTTATAGAGTCTGTGACTTGGTCTTTAGGATGTAGTAGTTCCCTCTGATTCCAAGGGGTTATTTTCCAAAACTTTCAATGAATGCCTGAAATCACAGATCATAAGAAGCCCTATAATTTATTGCCTTTTCCATCATAGCACTTAACTTTTTTTATTTTAAGGTATGACAGCAAAAATTAAGTTTCTTTCTTCACAATTTCATGGATAAAACTTTTCTTCTTACCATGGATCTTAGCAACCTCAGAAATACAAATTTTTAAACAAATACAAATTTTTTTTTCTTTCCTTAAATTGGAAACTGTCATCTTGGCACTTTAAAGGAGCACTTTACTATTTTTTTTTTTTTTGGCCTACCTCAACTCCCAACATTACTACTCTTGCACTTTGTGACCATTATCGAGAAAAATAAGGGTTACTTTGATCACAAGCACTTAGATACTGTGATGGTTGATACAATAACCAAAAGCGCTATGATAAAGTAACTAATTGGTATCCATAGTGTGGATACCCCAGACAAAAGGATGATTTGTGTCTCCTGAGCAGGATGAAGCAGGGTAGCAAGAGATTTTATTATGGTACTCTGTCACACAATTCAAAATTCATAAATTGCTTATTTCTGGAATTTTCATTTAATATTTTTGGACTGTTACTGACCATGGGTAAATGAAACCGTGAAAGTGATGGATAAGGGAGGACTACTGTTGCTCCCAGAGTTCCCGAATCTAATCTACTTTTAGGACTTTCTTTTTTCTTTTCTTTTTTAGACAATCTCACTACGTAATTCAGGCTGGTCTTAAACCTACTACGTATCCCAGGACAGGCTCAAACCCTGGCGATTCCTCTGCTTCAGGCTCCCGCTTGCACAACCACACTCAGCTCTTCAGAATTTTAACATTGTTAAAGAAACCATGGTTAGCCATCCCCCACCCACTTATTTTTCTCCCCTTTCGGTACTGGGGATCGAACTCAGGGTCTCAGAACCTTGAACTTGAGAAGCAGGCGCATCACCACTGAGCTAAATCTCTGGCCCACCCCACCCCCCCAATTTTTAAAACAATTGAGATATATTATTCCTTTCTTCACTAAGGACCAAACGGGGCTTAATGCCTTTAGCCTCAGGATTGTCTTTGAGCGTTTTACTGAGCCACACTACTTGTGGAGTTCTTCACTTCCGGTAGGAACGGAAGTGCTATCTGCCTAGTCACCTCAGGTGACCCATGTGTCATCCCAAGGTAAAGGATGCTAAACGCACGCACTCACTTTGCTGGGTAGGGCTCACTCTCCTTGCGTGCCCAGCTCATTTCCTAAGGGAAGGTTAGAAGGCCCGGGAGGAGCCGCGTGGGCAGAGGCGACTGAGGGGGCTGGCCGCCTCCACTCCTCGTACACACGGTCCTCTGGAGGCCCAGAATGAGCAGTCAAGCACCCCCCCTCCCCAACTGCAGAAAGAGCGGCTTCTCTTCACTCAGTACCCCGTGAAATCCAAGCAGACCGCTCTCCAAGTCAAGCCGCCCCCAACCCCGGGGAGAAAACAAACACTAAGCCTCCAACACTCAAGTCTCTGGAAACACCGCAAGGTCCCCGGAAATTCCCAGCCTGTCTCCCAAGGCCCTGTTAGGCTCTCCAACCTCTTCACTCCGTTCGCACCTCCCACCCACATCCCATGAGTCCCCACTTTTGGTGGCCCTCAAGCGCAAACCTAGAGCCACAGAATCCTGCCTTCGAGGAGTTCCTCCTGGTCCCGTGGATACTAAGCATGTGTGACTCCGCCTCTAGATGCACATTGACCAATGAGGACTCTACTCCTTCCCCAGGACTCCGCCCCCAGGTCACATGGCTAACGGTTTTAAAGTTCCTAACTGCTATAGCCTAGCTGCGCCCACTCCAATGTAAGCCAGATCCAGCTGTGCAGCACAGACCTCACTGGTCACCTTGGATGTGGGGGAAACAAGGAGTCCCTGCCCAAGATCTGGTAGTGCCTTGTGAGAGCAGCATAGGGTGGATCAGGAGACCTGGCTCGGGCTCGCAGGTGGGAGCCAGGTGGGCAGAGTGGGGTCTGGGACGGGAGGCACTGAGATCACGTGGGGGCACGAACGTGAGGCACTACAGGATGAAGGAAAGAGGCACACAGGTACAGCAGGGTAAGCAGGAGGAGTCCACGACTCTGCCTCCGTTTTTGAGGCTACCTAGAAGGCACACAGGATGGGCTCACCATCGAGTGTGGACAAAATGAAAACGAAGTGAGTGAGCTCAGACTGCAACTGAGCAGAAGGGCTTAGAGGTGACAAAAGCAGAGCCAAGAGCCAGAGTGCTCCTGGTCCTAGACCAGAGCGGGGAACCCGTAGCAGGGCATGCTCCGGAGGCCACCCCAGAATATTCACAGCGAGGACAGGATCATCCCAGCATTCAGGAGGATGAGGCAGGAGGATGGCAACTTTGAGCGTAACTTGGGGAATTTAGTGAGACCCTGCCTCAAAGTTTAAAAAGGTTTTGGCAACTTTGAGCGTAACTTGGGGAATTTAGTGAGACCCTGCCTCAAAGTTTAAAAAGGTTTTGAGGATGGGTGAGGTGGCACATGCCTGAACTCCTAGCACTCAGAAGGCTGAGACAGGAGGATCGTTGCAAGTTAGACACCAGCCTGGACTACATAGTGAGTTCAAGGCCAGCCTGAACTACATCTGAACTACATCGCGAGACCCTGCCTCATAAAACCAGAAAAATGGGCCAGGGATTTAGCTCAGTGACACCCTGCCTGCCTCAAAAGTACAAGGTCCTGAGTTCAATCCCCGATACAAAAGAAAAGGGCGGGGGCAGGGATGTAGCTTGTGGCACCATGCCTGCCAGGCAAGTGCAAGGTCCTGAGTTCAATTCCCAGTACTGGAGAAAAAAAAAAAGTTTGGGCTGGGGATGTAGCTCAGTGGCACAGAGCCTACCTGGCAAGCATGAGGTCCTGAGTTTGATCCCCAGCACCAAAAAAAAAAAAAAAAAAAAAAAAAAAAAAAAAGAGTGGGGGACAAACCCCTGTAATCCCAGCATTTGAAAAGCTGAGGCAGGAAGATTGCTGGAGTTCAAGACTAGGCTGGGCTGACTGCATAGCAAACAAAAAACAAGTAATAGAAATAAAAAGGGTTTGGGCTGGGGATTTAGCTCAGTGGTGCTGCCTCCTGTCTCATAAATGCAAAGTCCAGAGTTCGATCTCCCAGTACCAAAAAAGAAAGAAAGAAATAAAAATAAAAAGGGCTGGAGATGTAGCTCAATGCAAAGGCCCTGAGTTCAACTGCCAGTACAGAAAGGGGGGGGACAGTGGGGGTTGGCATCATATGTGACAGATGCCACTGCTGTGTCATGGAAGATGACAGGATTTTTTTTCCCTGTACCTGGGATCAAATTCAGGACATTGTGCTTGCCAGGCAGGCATAACACCATGGAGCTAAGTCACTGCCCAAGGATTTTTTTTTTTTTTTAATGAGTGAGAATTGGTGATCTTGGCAGGAGCACTTTCAGTGGTGTGGTAAGGACAGAAGCCTGATATGTGTGTGAATTCAAAACAGCTGGAGAAATCTTTTTTGTTGTTTTTGAGACAGGGTCTCACTATGTAGTTCAGACTGACCTGGAACTCACTATGTCGCCCAGGCTGGTCTAGAACTCACAGCAATTCTCCTGCTTCAGCCTCTGGAGTGCTGGGATTACAGGCGTGTGCCACCATGCCTGGCTGGAGAAATCTTGCTATATCCATTCAATGGAAAACTATAAGTAATAAAAAGAATTAAGTAATTAACACAGTATGGAAAAAAATCTCAATTACGCTGAGTGAAAGAATATATAATGTATATGGAATAATACTGTATGGTTCCATTTATATAAAATTCTAGAAAATAAAAATAATCTCTAGTGACAAAATAACAGCGGGACTGGAGGTATAACTCAATAATAGTGTGTTTCCTTAGCATGAGAGAGACCTGACCATCAAAGGAAAAAACAAAACAAGAACACTAGTTGCCAAAGGCCAGTGAATACTGCAGGGAAAGATTACAAGGAGCAGAAGGAAACTTGCAAATAATACGTTTAGTATCTTGATGTGGAGATGTTTCATAGGTGCATCTTTTATCAAAATATAAGAATTTGTAATTATGTGCTATTTATTGTATTAAATATAACTTTAAAAAATAAAAGACTCAGAGAGTAAAGCAGAACTTAAAAGAAAACAAGTTTTTCCCAGCCTTAGGCAGTCCCCCCCCCACATCATCACCACTACTCCCACCACTGTAACTTCTTGTTCTAGTACAAATAAAATTGACAATGGTAAGTATGTCTTGTAAATGAAGTTTATGACATCTCATTCTCACAAGATTCACAAGGCTCAGTCTTCTTTCAAGGATAAGTTATGCAGCTATCACCTGTGATTGCTTTTAATTGCTTTGTCTTGCTTCTGTAACCTCTCTTGCCCCCACCCTGCCCTCAGCCTCACATCAACCCCCTTTAACCAAATGTATAAAACTGGAGCCTTTCCTTTGTTGTGGGCTCCATCTTTGGACACTAGCCTAGTCCCTAACCGCATACACCTAAAACCTGGAATAAATCCTGGAATAAATCCTGTATCACCTGTTGGTCTATCCTATCTCTTAAAAGCCTGCAACATGACTGAAGCCTGGGTTCAATCCCTAGGACAGCAAGAAATCAAATGAAAGCATTACTGAGTTGCAGCTCCATTCTGCCCTCCCTAATACCATTCACCTAGCTCCCTTCCCCAAGTGAATTCTATCCTGAATTTACTTTTTTCTTTTTTTCAATACTAGGGATTGAGCTCAGGGTCATCACATTGAGCTACATCCCCATGGGACATTAACAATTAATACTAACAATTCAACTAATGAGATACTAAATCCACAGAGATAAACCTTAAATATATTAAGTCAAAAACCAAAGTGTCTCAGAGTGGTTGTGCCCACCTATAGTTCCAGCACTCTCAGAGACTGAGTCTGGAGGATTGCAAGTTCAAGTCCAGCCTAGGCCACTTAGTGAGACCCTGTCTCAAAAGACAAAAAAAAAATTTTTTTAAATGTTGAGACAAGGTCTTGCTATATTTTCCAGGCTAGCTTTGAACTTACTAGGTAGCTCAGGCTGGCCTTGAACTTGTAGCAATCTTCCTGCCTGAGCCTCCCAAGTGCTGGGATTACAGATGTGCACCACCACACTCAGCTTCAAAATTAGAAAAAAAATGTATATCACACTATTTATTGGTACATTTAAGGCATACATAGTGATAACACTTATCATAGGGAATCTGCACGTGTACAAGGTACATTCCACCCCCTTTTTTCCCTCCCACCCCTCAAGCTCCCTCCCCTATGTACAAAATTTTTGTTTCCACTTTTTCTATTTTCACTTCTTTCTTGTCCCTTCCTTCCTCTTTCACACCCACTTCCCTGTTCCCCTTCCCATTTGAACATTTTCTTCCCATTTCCCAATATCTATTATATATTTAATCCTTATTTCCACTTTTGTTTTCTCACACCAGAGAAACAATGCAGTATTTAAACAAATGTGTCCAATTTATTTCACTTAAGAGTGAGGGCTCAAGGTGCATCCATTTAGCAAGAAATGTGTCAAGATTATCCTTCTTTTGGATCTAAGATCCACTGAAGGTTCCTAGATTGTACATGTTTTGTTTTATTTTGTTTTCTTTGTTTGTTTGGTGGTACAGGGGATTGAACTCAGGATCTTGCATTTGCCAAGTAGGCGCAGCACCAAGGAGCTACATTTCCAGCCCTAAGCTTATCCTTCTTTATGGCAGAGTATAAAAATCTCATCTTCTTTATCCATTCATTAGTTAATGGGCATTTGGACTGTTTCCAAGATTTAGCTATTACAAATTGTGCTGCTATAAACATGGGTGTGCACTTATCACTGTGGTATGATGCTTTTATTTCTTTCAGAAAGATAGCAAGAAAAGGAATAACTGGGTCAAATGGAACCTCTAGTTTTAGCTTTTTGAGAAATCTGCACACTGATTTCCACAGCGGTTGCACCGTCTACACTCAGTGGAAAAGGGTTCCCCGCCCACATCCCCACCAGCATTAGTGACTGATTGATTTCTTCATAAGAGCCATTCTTTCTGGAATGAGATGGAATCTCAGTGTTGTTTTAATTCATATTTCACAAAATACTAGTGATGTTGAATATTAAAAAAAAATTTTTTTTTGGTACCAGGGATCAAACTCAGGACCTTGAGCTTAAGATGCAGGCACAGCACCACTGAGCTAAATCCCCAGCCCCTAAAAAAAGTTTTTTTTGAAACAAGATCCTGCTATATATAGTTCAGGCTGGACTTGAACTCACTATATACTCCAGGCTGGCCTCAAACTCATGGCAATCCTCCAGCCTCAGTCTCCCAAATCCTAGGATTACAAGTGTGCACCACTATACCCAGAAAAAAAATATTTAAAGGGTTGGAGATGTAGCCCAATGAGAAGGTCCAGGCTTCAATCTCCAGTACAAAAAAAAAGTGCTGGGATGTGGTTCAGTGGTTCAGCACTTATCTAGTGTGTACCAGCCCTTGTGTTCAATCCCCAGTACTGAAAGAAAAAAGCCAAGTTGTAGAAAGATATGGAGTGTATAATTTATGATATCAACATGCAAAACAGTGTCATGTTTTATTTTTAGATACAAATATATAAACTAAAATCTATGTCCAACTCATGGACTTGGACAGCTAGTAATATGGCCCCACATGAATGTAAATTTTTAACATTATAATGTGATGTCTGATGATATTTTTCATGACCTGACTATACACTGCTCAAGCAAGTACCATCTAAGTGACAACAGATATAATGGAGGACACAATTCAATGTTGCTTCTGCCTACTGCACCTGTCATATGTCAGTGACATCAAAACTTGGAAACCTGTGTGTATCAGGTGTTCCATGGCCTGTGCAAATGGCCATTCAAAGGTAGCAATTCTACCTACCTGCACATGTTGCATGCCTATCAAGATGGAATTTATTCGGTGGCCTGCTTCGCAAGCACAAGGACCTGAGTTCGATCCTCGGTACCAAAAGATGGAATTTATTGTTATGAAGCCAACATGTACATTTTCTCATTTAGTTATCAATGTTCATTCATAGTCACCCTAGTATTTCAGTGTGACTAAGCTCAATTTTTTCATTGTCTCATTGTCAGACTGCTTAGGTTTTCTCCCATACAAGTTGAGCATCACTCATGTGAAATCTCCAAAATCTGAAATATTCCAATATCTGAAACTTTTTGAGTGCCAACATGATGTCATAAGCAGATAATTATACACAACTGATGTGATGAGTAATGGTTAAAACTCAAGTGCACTAAAAATATAAAGGCAGGAGTGGTTATGTTTGCTGAGTAGTAGTCCCTGCTGAGGCTTAGGAGTTCAGGGCCAACCTGGGAAACACAGAGAGATCCCATCTCAAAAAAAAAGGAGAGAAAATAGGGCCAGGGATTTAGCTCAGTGGCACTGTGCCTGCCTTGCAAGCACAAGGTCCTGAGTTTGGTCCCCATACAAAAAAAAAAAAAGGAGCGAGAGAGAGAGAGAGAGAGAGAGAGAGAGAAAATATATATATATATACATATATAATTCCAGCACTCTGGGAGACTAAGATGGGAGGATGACAAGGTTAGGCACACCCTGGACAAGTTAGCAGGACCCTATCTGAAAAAAACAAACATGCAAAAATAGACCAGACATATGGCTCAGTGCAAAGACATTAGGTTCAATCCCCCCAGTACCATATACACAGTATATGAATATATATAATATGCATAATTACATTCAGGGGTCAGAGATTTAGCTCAGTGGTGCTGTGCCCATCTCACAAGCACAAGATCCTGAGTTCAATCCCTGGTACCAGGAGAAAAAAACAACAAACATAATTACATTCAGCCTATATATATAAGGTATATATGAAACATAAATTTCATGTTTAGGGCCGGGGATTTAGTTCAGTGGCTCATGAGGTCCTGAGTTTGATCCCCAGTACCAATAAATAAATAAATTTATTTCATGTTTAGATTCCAGTTCTTACCAAGTTATCTTATTATATATACAGATATCCCATAATCTCAAATGCAATGAAATCTAAAACATTTCTGATCCCAGGCATTTTGGATAATTTTAACACCGTGAGTCCCACCATGAACTCTAGACTAAGGTACATTTTCTTAACATTATGGCTTATGCCAGGGCCACCATCAGGATCTGAGTGTTTGGATTTTTTTTTTTTTTTAGCCAGGGTCTTGTTATGTAGTTCAGGCTGGCCTTAGCTCACTATGTAGCCCAGCCTGCCCTTGAACTCAGCAATCCTGCTTCTGCTTCCCGAGTGCTGGGATTACAGGTGTGTGCTACCACGTCTGGCTGTTAGGCTTTTCATTGGCACATTTTTAGAGGTTGATTACTCACTGTTCAGGTCTCTATTAACAAATAGAACATCAATAATTTGTCCAAAGTGGGAAGGGTAGGGGAAAGGGAATAAGGGAAAAGAAAAAAATATGAGAAAATGAAAAAATGGAAATAAAGTGTGTGTAAATGAGGAGGGGAGGAGGGGGTAAAGGGAGGGCAGGGACAAGGGGGAAAAAATGAGAACCAAGACCTGTCATGTAAAGGTACAGAATCCCAATAATGAATGTAACTGTACTGTATACCTAAAATGTACCAATAAACTCAATAAAAAGAAAAAAACAATAATTTGCTCAAGCCAGGGATTTAGCTCAGTGGTTCCGCCACCAGCTTCGAAAGAGCAAGGTCCCAAGTTCAATCCCCAGTACCCATCCCCCCCAAAAAGATAGTGCTAAATAACTTGTTCAAATGAAGCAGGATTTAAAGAGCAAGTTCTTCCCAGCATTGGACAGCCCCCCGTTGCATCACCTCCTCAACCTGTAGCTATAACTTCTTGTTCTGATAGTATCCTCTGGTTCTCACAAGATTCACAAGGCTCTATCTTCCTTCAAGGATATTACTGTGTGATATGTAACTAACTGCTTTTGTCGTGCTTCTGTAATCTCACTTGCCCAGCCCAGCCCCAGCTTCACGTCACTGGAAAGACCAAATGTATACATACGATCTTAGCCAAAAGGCCGAGAAGCAATGACTAAATGTATAAAAACTAGAACTTCCCTTTGTTCGTTGCTATTCCTTTGGACAGGAGCTCATTAAGCCAGTGTTCACCTAAAACCTAAAATAAATCCTCCTGACTCCCATTGGAGACAGGAGAGCCTGTCTCTTGGAATTCTGCAACACCAAGATAGCTCGGAATGGAACAAATAGGTCAAATCTTTGCATGTTTCTTCTCATGCTACTCTGTTATGCTCTCCTCCTTCACTCAGGTCCTTGTAATATTTACCTGTCAAAATTAGCATTCCTAATCACACGAACTCCTAGCAGATCAGTTGGCAGCCTTATTTTGAAGCAGCAATTTTATCCTAAGAACTACTAACCTGTTTAACATTTCTGAATCCATGGAATGAATGCTTTCTAAATTTATATCCCTGGCAGCATGGTTGCATAGGTTTTTAAATGCAGGAGTTGCCTCTAAAACTTTAATTTGGCAGGGGTGTACTGGAGATTGAACTAAGGACCTTGCACTTATGAGGCAGGTGACACCACTGAGCTAAATCCCCAGCCCTTTCTTTCTCTCTCTCTTTCTTTCTTTTTTTTCCCCCTGTATTTTGAGACAGCGTCTTACTATGTAGTTCAGACTGGCCTTGAACTCACTATGTAGCCTAAACTGGCCTCAAACTGAGATCCTCCTGCTTGGGATTAAAGGTGTGCACCACCACACCTTGCTCTTTAATATTTCATTGACTGTGAATCTATCAGATTCCACTATGGAGCCCTATGTGTGTGTATAAGGGCTCTCCCAGACTGTTAATGCAAAGGATTTCTCTCACAGAGAAGAAAAAACAGAGCAGCAAGAACAAAGGAGCAACCCGCCAGGGGCTGCCTCAATAAACAGCAGTATTGTGCAGTCACAACCTCCTCTTGTCGCTAAGCAACAAGAAGTTGACCTCTTGAGGTTCTCTTTCCTCAGATGTGACCTAAACAAGAGGAAATTTTGCCTTTTCTGCTTCCTTCCTGGAAAGATGGAAAGTGCTTTAGTAGGCTCCTGGGTAAGAGCGCACTCTATAGTTAACCTTGGCACCTGGCCCTGCGGTTGTACATAAAATCTGAGTCATAAGGGTGAAGTAAGAAGGTTACCAGGCTGGTGGAGGACACTGAGCTGTTCTCTTACCTCTTTCATTCAGAGATCATCCCTGAAGGCTGCTTGGTTTTCCTGACATCATGGCCCCTTCTATGCATCCTCATTTCCTGAATGTGAGGTTCACCAGCTGAACGTCTTCTCTCATTACCCCATTTATTCCCATTTCACTATTTGAACTCACCTCCCAAACTTCTGGAGTTTGGCTGCTTTCTAATCTGGGAATATTTTAGGTAAATAATTCTGGGTTTTGCCCTTTTTATTTCCTGAACCCAGCTCCTTGCCTGCAACCCAGTAAATACTATTAAGCAAAACTAAAAAACAAATGGCTCTTCATAGTGGGGTGGACAGATAAGTAAGGTCACCTGTTTTCAAGAGGGTGAAAACACATGGGGCCTCTCAGGCCTATTGAAAAGGGTGCTCTGGTGGTCAGAGAACAGCCTCAGGACAAGTTCCTCTGCCCAGGGTTGTGATTGCGGAGGACTAGATACTCCTATACTCAAGAGAACTCAGCCCAGAAAGACTGGGCCATCTGAGTTCCCAGACTTTCCACAAGGTGTCCACCCAGTGACATCATAAAATCCTTTCTTTTTGTTTGTTTTTGTTTTTGTTTTTGTTTTTTGAGACAGGGTCTTACTATGTAGTTGAGACTGACCTGGAACTCACTATGTAGCCCAGGTTGGTTTTGAACTCACAGTAATCCTCCTGCCTCAGCCTCCCAAGTGCTGGGATTACAGGCGTGCGCTACCACACCTGGCAAGATCCTTTCTTGGATCCCTGATAGGTGTTCATTTTTGTCTTCTGTCAGTGCCTCTCTCTCTCTCTCTCTCTCTCTCTCTCTAATTCTTTCCAGAGGTTATTTTCTGTTGGTTAAATACTTCATTTGGAAATTTTCTACCTTGCTTTGGTACTTCAGGTTCAGAGCCTGCCCCTCTTGTCCCAGAACAGTGGACAGCAGGGAAAATGGGTACTCATAACTTTGTCAGTAGATGTGGAAGGATCTATTTCCCTTGATTTTGGGGGACCCATGGTGGGGAGGATAGCAAAGGGGACTTCCTCTCAGATTCCTTAGACAAAGACCACACCACCAGACAGTGGCCTTGACCATAGAAGTCGGCTCTGAATAAATGGTACCCCGGTCGCCCACACACAGCCCTCCCAGGTAGGTGAGCATAGCTGAGGCAAACTGCCCCAACAATGACCCCTAATGGGCCTTTCCAGGAGTGTTCCACCTCTTTAAATTATTTCTATTCTTTAAAAAAAATTTTTTTCCAGTACCAGGGATCAAACTCAGGACCTTGTTCTTGTGAGGCAGGTGCGGCACCACTGAGCTAAATCCCCAGCCCTAGATTATTTCTGTTCTTTAGAAACTCCAGTGGGGAGCTTCTGACTTGGCTTCTCTGAAACTCTCAGGTAATGCCCCAAGGACTGGTGTGAACGGGCTTTATCCTCATGACTGCTTTGTTACAGCACAACAGTGGCTTCTATGGGCACTCTAGAGGTCAAGTCAAGAGTGAAAGTGCTGGAGAGTATCGCTGCGCAGCCAAGCCCCAGCCTCCAGCAGCATTCCTGCAGCGATGCCAGGTACAAGAGACTCTTCTTGGCTCTCCCAGCTCCAAAAGGATTATTCCAGCCCTTTCAGAACCAGCCTGCCAGCCACTCTCCCTGGGACAGACAAATAGGAGGCTTAGTTCTTCCCTGAAATGTCACATATTCCCTCTAATGACAGGTAGGAAAGAGCAGGTGCAGCCTTGCCGGACAGTGTTTTTCACTGCTTCTTCGAGACAAAAGAACCCAAGCCCAGGAAGGGTGTGTAGAACTACTGGGAGGAAAGCATAAGCCAGGAAGGAAACCTTGAATATGCTGAACTGCCCTCAAGCTCAGATTCCTTGATGCCATGAAAGCCCACTGTCAGCCCACAGGCCGCACTACAGTCCAGGACCTTGGAAATGAGTCAGAGGCACTTCTTGTTGGGTAGGGAAGTAATGTAGGAGGTAACTGGGTACCGGCTCACACATTTAGCTAGGGAAGAATGGAAAGGAATGATGGCAGAGGCAACTCAGAGGGGCCAGACGAGCTTCCAGAGAACAGAGGGATGCTGGGCTTTAGACACTCCACCATGTAGAGCAAAGGGAGCCTGGTGATGTAGGCTTTCAGATCTACGTCCTAAGCAAGAGCAGGGTGGGGGGAAGCCCAGAGCAACCTGAAGTGTGCTTTAGCTATGGCAGTTTCTTGTTTCCTTGCCTTTTGTCACGTCCTCTTGGAGCTGCAGTCCAAATTCTTCAGGAATTACTTTTCTAGGTTGAGAGCAGGATCCTGGAAGCTGCTATGTTGTGCAACCTGAATTTCTATAGTATTTTAGTATTTCCAGTTGGGAGGATTGCCTGGCACTGCCTGCCAAGCCAGGCTCAAATTCAGCTCTCCAGACTGCCCATGAGGGGCCACCTCTTTTTTTAAATTTTTATTTATTTATTTTTTTTGAGACAGTGTCTCATTATGTGGTTCAGACTGGCCTTGAACTATGTAGCCCAGGAACTCACTATGTACTACCACGTACTTGCAGTAATCCTCCAGCCTCAGCCTCCCAAGTGCTGGGATTACAGGAATGTGCCACCATGCCCAACCAGGAGATATCTCACTTTTGAGAGTAATAATAGATATGGGGCAGTAAAGGGACACAAGTAACCCATAGCCTTCCTGCTGGATGTTTACTCTAGCCCTTAGTGGCAGCTCTTAACCCAGAAACCAGAATATCCTCTCAATCTGTCAAACCCATAGCCCAGGAACAGACATGTAGATTACATGTTTTAGCTACCGATCAGACAGAAAACTTGCAGAATTAACTAGCATTATCAGCAGCTCCAAATAACATGATATGTGTTTTGGACTCAGGTTGTATAAATGTCAAATCTCATTGCTCTTTCTAGGTTTAGAGCTGTTTTAATTAATAGGACTTTTGAGGGTAGGTGCATGTTTTACTTTTTCATTGGTTGGGAGATATCAGGATTCAGTCGGCCATCTGCAGCTACTGTTGTTGAAAGTCTTTCCAAGATGTGGCATCTATTTTCCTTTGGGGGAGGTAAAAAAATTTTTTTTGAGAGCTGGACGTGGTGGCGCACGCCTGTAATCCCAGCACTTGGGAGGCTGAGGCAGGAGGATCGCTGTGAGTTCGAGACCAGCCTGGGCTACATAGTGAATTCCAGGTCAGTCTCAACTGCATAGTGAGACCCTGTCTCAAAAAAACACACACAAAAAAAATTTTTTTTTGTACCAGGAGGGAGGTAAAAATTTTATCTGTTACATTCAGGTGCAAGAAAAAAATTTTTTTTTCATTTTTCTTCTGAACTATATTGATCTATTTATTCTAACCTTCACTTGCCTGACTATTGGAAATGCAACCCTGTTTCTCTTTTTTCCTAAAGTCAAGTATTGGTCCAGGAGACTTACCAATGGGGGCAGGTTCTTATCTGTGGTGCCAAAATTTCTCTGCCCCAGGTATGCCCCACATACTGGTCTAATGCAGAGGTTCCTTTCTCAGCACCCACTGACTGTGATGCCCAGACTCCACAGGGTCCTTGGCCACCCACATATAAATACTGCCTCTTCCCAGGAAACCTACCTCTGTCCTCCAAGACTTCTGAAACAGAGAATCAGCTCTCTAGACCCAGCTGCTTAGAAACCATGGATTTCACCACCTCCATGAGAAAGGGGCCCCTAACATTTTAGAAACAAAGATGCAAGTGATAATTTTCAGCAACAAGAATTCTCAGAACAGCCTAAGCTGTAGAAGAAATGACTATTTTTCTTGCTAGGCTCCCACAGTTTTGAGAGAGCAAACTTGAATCAGTGGGAGTTGACAGATTATCCTGCCACTGTAGGCATAATGAGAATCAGAGCTGCCTACAACAGCAGAGCATTCATTCTAGGGCTGTGTATAGTTCTGAACACATTGAGATAGGTGAGAAACTGAGAGGTTATTGGGATTTGTCCCAGGCTTCCAGATTTTTTAAAATTAAAACTTTCATTGAGATAAAGATCTGTAAGCAGTTATCAGGAGTAATAAAGAAAAATCTGTCCTTCATTTTGCCCATTTTCCTTCAGTGATAACATTTTGCGAAACTGTGGTATAATATCAAAACTAGGACATTAACAGTGATGCAGTCCAATCTCATTCAGATTTCCTCATTTTACTTGCACTTATTTGTGTATAAGATCTATAAAATTTTATGGTCTGTGTGGGTTCATCTATCCACCATCATAGTTTAGATTCTGACCAATGTAACAAAAATCATTGATGGTGTTCTTTTATCTCTGTCTGCACACCCTCCATTCCTTCCCCTTTCTCTGTCCATGTAGATCTCTCTTCCATTTGTAAAAAACTGTCATTTGAAAATGCTATATAGCCGGATGTGGTAGCACATACACACCTGTAATCCCAGCACTTAGGAGGCTGAGACAGGAGGATTGCCACAAGTTCAAGGCCAGCCTGGGCTACACAGTGAGTTCAGGGCCAGCCAGAACTACAAAGGGAGATCCTGCCTCAACAAAACAAAATGCTATATAAATGGAATAATACAGTATGCAACATTTGGAGATTGATTTTTCTTGCTCAATATAATTTCCTAGAGTCATCAGATTATGTATCGATAGTTCTTTTCTTCATTACTGAGTAGTATTCCATGGCACATATATGCCAGTTGGTTTAACCATTCAATATTAGATCTGAAGTGATTCCAGTTTTTTGGCTTTATAAATAAAGCTGCTATGAACATTTGGACACAGATTTTTTTTTTTTGGGTGAACATGAATTTTCATTCCTCTGGGATAAATGCCCAGAAGTACAATTGCTGGGTCATATGGTGGTTGCATGTTTAGCTTTTTAAATAAACTGTCAAGCTGTTTTCCAGAGTGGCTGTACCATTTTACATTCCCACCAGCAATGCATGAATGATTTAGTTTCTCTGCTTTCTCACTAACATTTGGTGTTGTTTCTATTTTTAATTGTAGTCATTCTGATAGACAGTAGTGATATTTCATTGTGGTTTTGGTTTGCATTTCCCTACTATTTAATGATGTTGAACATCTTTTGATATGTTATGTGCCATCTGTCTATCCTTTTTAGTGAAATAGTTTCCTTTTGTTTTCCCAATGTCTAATTAGATTATTTTATTGTTGCGATGGTAGAGTTCTTTCTATATTTTAGATACTAGTCCTTTGTTGGACATGGGTTTTGTAAAATCCAGTCTGTAGCTTTGGGGGGGGTACCAGGGATCAAATTCAGAACATTGAGCTTGCCAGGCAGCAGGCACTGTGTCACTGAGCTGCATCCCTGACCCTTACATAGATTTTCATAGGGCAAAATTTAAAAATTTTTTGATGAGTCCAATTTATTTTTTCTTTCACGACTCTGTTTTAGTGTCAACTCTTGAGAACTTTCTACCTAGCTTCAGATTCTGAAGATTTTTTTCCTAAAAGGGTCCTGGGATTGTTTTGTTTTGTTGGTTATTTTTGTTTTGCTTTGGTGTTGAAGATTGAACACAGGACCTTGCAAATGTCAAGCCCATGCTCTACCATTGAGCCCTGGGTTCCTATTTTATCACCTTGCTTCATGAGGAATGAAAGGTAAGGCATCTGGTTTTCCATCTTCAAAGTTTACCTTCTGTTTAGTGGCTACCACTGTAGTGTTACAGGAGGTCCCAAAAGGGGAGACTCTTAAAAACATACTACAGGCTCTACACTGACTGGTTCAAGGATCTGGAACAGAGCCAGCCCTTGGTCTCTGTGTGTGTGTGTGTGTGTGTGTGTGTGTGTGTGTGTGTGTGTGTGTGTGTATACATGCACACCTGGCATGCAGTGCTGGGGATGAAAGCCAGGGACCTCTAGGCACTCTACCAAGCTATGGCTCAAGCACCCAGGCCTTGCATTTCATCTGGGGAGCTGTTGTCAGCCATTGCTCATACCTCTAACCCAGCCAAGCCCATTTTCACCAGATCAAACCGCTTCAGGTCTGTAGCAGGAGAATCCAAGTGAATGGGGAAAGGATTGCTCTAGGGGCAGACAGTAGGCACAGAGACAAGGAGTTAGACTTGGGAGACATTCCTGCCAAGGTCTAGAAGCATCAGTATTGGTGGTCTTTCTCTGCTTGGGAATAGAGCAAGGCTTTCTGGCTCCAACTAAGCCCAAGCCAATACCCTGGGCTTGAGATTTTCTGTCCTCATCCATTGCTTTAACAGCAAATGTTTATTGAACAGTGTCAGGCATTGCTCTCAGGGATGAAGTAAATTAGAGATGTGAACATGATAGATAACCTTTGCCCACAAAGAACTTAGGTTCTATGGGGGATGGGGAGGGTCAGATGATAGAAAGTAACATAATATATAATTATAGAGAGTTAGGAGGTGAAAAATAAGAGTTGGGGAAATGGAATTACTCCCACAGTGCTCAAGGAAGGTATTTCCTGAGTGAAGTAAGAAGTTTTATGGCTAGCTGAGGGAGCAGGTGGTGCAAAGGCCTGAGAAGCAAATCCTCCATGTTTGAGAGTAAGGGAGGAGGCCCGTACGGCTGGAGGTAGGACCGTAGAGAAGGATCAGTAGCTTGTGGGTCTGATGGACCACTATAATGACTTTGGTTGTTGTGGACTTTTGGCAAACATGTGACTGGATTCATGTGCTAAAAATTTCTAGCTGCTTAAAGTGATAGGCTGGAGTGGTAAGCTTGAAAGAAGGGACACTAGGCAAGAAACTCTTACAATAATTCTGGCAGTAGAGGAGAGTGATTTGAATCAGAAAAAGCCATTGTAATTCCTGCATACACTTGGAAGGAATTATCGACAAGATTTCCTGCAACATTAGATGTGGAATGTGAGAGAAAAGAAAAAGGGAACTCTGAGGTCTTTGGCAGGATCTAGTTGTCATATCCTGAACTGGGCCTGGAGTCTGGGATGATCTGAAGCTCAGTCATGTATTTAGAGATGTCCTGTCTGGCACTGACACAGAAATATCGAGAAGGCAGTGGCTAATGTGCCTGGGTCCAGGAATCATCTTGAGCTTGAGACAGAAGTTTTAGTTTCCAGGTGGCATTTAGGGACTGGGATGTGGGTGTGCTATCGAGGAAATAAGTACGGATGGAGGGAGGAGACTGAAATCCAGTCCTAGGCAATCTAGAGTACAAGGGCCCACTCCTGCAAGGATGCCCAACAGAAGCCTCAGCCCAGAGGCTTCAAAGGTTTTTAGTTAGGACAAATCCCAAATCATGTGGTAGGAGTGAGGTGCTGCTTTAATTTGCCTTTGACCTTTCAGGGTGTTACCAATGTAGCACTTGAGGAGTGGTCTCCTGCAGTTTCCCTCCAGTAAGGACACTGGAAATATCTGGGAGAGTAAGTATCATCTTTTTTTTTTCCTCATTGCTTTTCAAGGAACCAGCACAGCAACACTTCTTCTCCAAGCATGACAATCGCACTTCCTACGACAAAGTGAGTGCTAGGGACGAAGGAGAACAGATGGTCCTTTGGCCTAGGTGGAAGTTGAGGGCAGAACAGGTGGTGGGGAGATGGGACAGACCTTGAGGGGAGGGGGCGCTCCATAAAAAGAAGAGTAGCTGTCTCCTCCACCACTGCATTCCCCAATGGCGGCACCTCTGCGTTGGTTTCCTCAGCCAGCTTCCCTGATAATATGTAAATGTCCTGGGGGCCAGTGACAGGGGCTTCACATCGGAATAGACAGCATCACTGAGGAGGCAGCCAGTGAAGCCAGGGTAGGGCCTGCACAGGCCAGGCATCGTCAGACTTGGGATTAGGTGGGGTCCACGGAGATGCCTGGTGCTAGGACTGTGAGTTAAGGGCCTGTACCACTGGGGAGGGCCCCTACTGTCTGCTGCAGGGAATTGGAAGACAGAAAGATCTGAAGCGCCTGTGGCAGCGGCACACCTTCTTGCGCTGGGCACCCTGTGAACTGGAGCTGAGCCAGCAGCAGCCCCTGCAATCTTCTTACCAGTCTGATTTCCAGTCGGGCTCAGGACTTGATAGCCTTCCCCAGCGCCTTGTTCACTTTGTGCAAATCCAGCCTCCATATGCCAGTACTACCTACCAGCAAAATTTCTGCCACCCATCCCTTGGTGGTCGCTGTGGCATTGACAAGATAGGACCCCAAGTGCCTGTCACTGACACACTGCCTGACCTCCCAGCGACCCCAAGACCCAAGCTGCTGCAGCACTACCTTCATCCTGGGGTCTCTGAGTGCCTACACTGGTCCTGAGCATTAAACAAGGATAGCTGACACACAGCCTGCCTGTACTTGCAGCCCAAAAGGTCTCAGGGGCTAGTGAGCAGTGATGGGCAGTCAGGCCCAGAGCCTGACTCCCATGGAACTTGAATCTGTGGTTTCCACATGCTGGGCTGGGGAGGCACTTCTGTGGGATTCTTGCCACCACATGAGAAAGAGTAAGGTCTGGAAGAGGCCCAGCGTCCAGGAGGGCTGCCCTGACCAACAAAAGGTAGGTCCGAACACTTCTCCACAACTTCAGCAAACAGCTGGAAACTCAGTGTTACTGCAAGGAAAGCACAGCTAGCAGTTCTACTAGTAGGCATCAAAGGCTGGAGAAGCTGGGCACACACCTATAATCCCAGCTACTCAGGAGGCCAAGGGAGAAAGATCACAAATTCTAGGCCAGCCTAGGAAACTAAGAGAGACCCTGTCTCAAATCAAATAACAAAAACAAAGGGCTGGGTGGGTATCGCTCTGTGACAGAGCACTTGCCTAGCATGTCCAAGGTACTTGGTTCAATCTCCAAGACAGAATTTTAAAAACGAAAGTTTAAAAAGCTAGATGAAGAGGCAAAGGTTGGCAGCTTCCTCTAGGAGGAGGCCTAGAGGGGTTTGGTGGGTAGCTACACAGTCCTGCCTGGGAAATGGCTCCCTACAGCCAACAGAGAGGGTGCAGGGTGCCTTGGCTATCATCTGCATGGAACCACCTCTCCCTTCATCAGTGAGCAGAAGCTTTGAGAAGACACTGTGTAATGCTGTGTGATTTGGACCCAGAGGTTATTCTAAACCTGTAGTTTCATTGTTGCTATTTGAGCTCTTCTCTCTATCAGTGTCTCAAATTCCTAAGACAGTAGAGGAGTGCTATCATCCCACGTCATCTATGGCAAAGCTGAGGCTTAGATGGGCCTGAGATACCAGTTCACTTTGGGGACAGCAGCCAGATACAAGTAGCTCCCTGGAGGCCCTCATCTCTGGGAGAGCAAAGGTCCCTGAAGGAGAGTAGAGGCTGTGAGAACAATATGGAAGTCCACACCAGAAGCCCCACACCAGATTTTATCAGAACCTTTACTTTCACATCCAGCCTCCCTGGGTCCTCACAACAGCCCTGTGAGGTAGGTAGGGCAGGAAGGTTTCAGAGATCCCCACTGACAGATGAGGATGTTGAGGCACAGAGATAAAATGACTTGCCCAAAGTCATACAACAGCAGTATAGAGGGCCCAAGGCCAGCATTACTCTTGCCCCCTGGTGGTTCCCACATCCTTACTCCATTCCGTGTCCTTAACCCTCTCTGGATACTTCTGGGACAGTAGGGACCCTCAGGATAAGAGTGGCCACTAGGATTTTTCAGGAATGGCCACAGGAGTGGCCTTGTCAACTCTAGACAGTGACTATATTGCAGGATACAAGGCCAGATCTTCCATCTCCACACTTCCCAGTTGGTCAGAGGGCCTAGTAGGCTACAGGGCAAGGGCAGAGATTATGTTCATGAGTGAATGGTGGTAAAGGTAGGTGTGAGCTTATGTATGTCCTGTGCTAAAGACAAAGGCTCCCCCAACCAAAGTACCAAAGGTAGTGCCTCAAGTGCCCACCTCTGTGCCTCCCTCATCCCGCAGAGTTGCAGAGAGCTCCCTCAGCAGCAAAAGGAGCCATAGGCATCTGCTTCTGCACTGAGCTGCTCCAATGGACATGTCCCACAGGGCCTTCAGACTCCATCACGCAGACACAGTGCCTCCACGGCTTGACTGGGGCCCTGGGCCACACCCCCGATAACAAATAGCCGGGGTCCAGCCTGTAGACTAGAGCAGGAACAGCGGGCTGTGGGCATGGTGGGCAGTGCCTCCCAGCGCCGCTGTGCAAGACTGAAGCTCTCCACAGAGCTCAGAGGGCACGGCTGGTTTCCTGCATGAAGGAGACAGATGGCTGTATGTAAGGGACTCTAGGCCGTTTGCTCCCTGAGCCCAGAGGAGGACCCACTAAGTATCACGCCAGGATGGGCTTTCAGTGCCTTGTTCCTCATTGCCCTGTTCATCACTTGTTCATTCAATCACTCATGTTTTGATTTGTCCAATTGGCCATACATTCAGTCCTGTGACTGTCTCCTAGACCCCTGCTGATGCAGAGCCCCAGTCAGGAAATGGGGACACCCTGAGAGCTGGGCCAGGCAGACTTCACTTGCTTGATTTGTGGGTAAAGAAAGGGAGCTTATAAAGCCCCAACACCTCTGCAATGGCTGAAGAGGAAGTACTCTTACTAGGGGGTGACTCTTTCCTGTCTTGGGGTCCCTTCTCCATAGTCCCACAGAAACTTACCGAGGCCCCCAATGGCCAGGATGTGGCCCCCAAGAGAGCCAACCACAAAGTCAGCTCTCTTATCCCTCATGCGTAGGCTACGGGGTAGCTTGGTCCAGGACCCTGCAGGAGAGGGGAGATCACGTCTAGCCTCACAGACACTATACCCCTCCAACCCACAGAGAATAAGAAGACAGCCCAGGACAGCCACTGCTCACCATGCTCCAGGTCAAACATCTCCACAGTGTTGACAAAATGTGGGCGGGAGTAGAAATTGTGGGGCCCAGGTTGCTGCAGACCTCCCAAGCTAAAGACGTTGCCTTCAGCCATAGCACAGCCAGCAAAGGCCCGGCGGCTGGGCAGGCTTGGGTGCCGGGTCCAGGTACAGGCCTCCAGATCAAAAGCTTCAAAAGCAGTCACTGGGAGCTTGCCCTGGCGGCCGCCTGTCAATGGAATTGGGGGAGCTGGGAGGGAGCCCAAGGGACTTGGTGGGCTCCTCACTCTCCAGATTGCTGATCTGTCTGCCCCAGCCTCCCATGCCCACCTGTTTGCACAAGCACGTGCAGATTATCCATCCTACAGACATTCAGGCACTGGGATTTGGTTCTCCAATCTTGGCAGGGCCACCAGAGACCAGAGCCTCAGAGAAGGCCTGGATCACCCCAACAAAGCTTTTTAAGTCCTGCTGTCTCAGACTATGCCTGATTCATAACCAGCCAACTATGGGGATGGGGACTTCTGGACTCTTGAGACCCTTTCCCATATCCTCTAGGCGCTTACCCAGAATATAGATCTTGTTTCCATGCAAGAAGGTAGAGGCCCCATAGCAGGGTGTGGGCATGGAGGGTAGTGAAAGCCAGCAATCCCGGCGAGGCTCATACACCCGTACTTGAGCCTGTGGGGCTGTGTCAGGGCCCATTCCTCCCAAAGCATACACCATACCATCTGTATAGAAAAGAGTAATTCAGATTACACCCCAGTCTGCCCAAGGAACTCCACTCTGACAGCTTCCCTGGTTAGGCAAGGTGTGGATGGACATCCATGTCCTTGTCTGAAACCCTGAAACCTATCTGGAATGGAAGCTGAGAGAGCTTCCTGCTCTGGCTGGGGCCCTTCTGAGTGAAGAGCAGGAGGCAGCTGATCTAATTATAATCCAGTTTTGTCTCCCTGGAGACACTATGGCAACCAAGTCTTGCTGGTTGGGACCAGTGGTCAGACCTGGAGGCCATAAGGTGGGGGCTCCCCTGATGACAGGGAGGGTGACACAAGAGTTAGGGGCATATAGGGATTTAGTTAGCATGGAGCTAAGTCTGGGGAGGAGACTGGGGATAAGGTGGGATGGAAATGAGGCTGGGAGAGGGGCTTGGACCTGAAGGCCAGAGGTGCTAGCCACAACCGTTCATCCTGTGGTCCTGCCGCCCCTCTACACTACACTTTTTCACTAGAGTTCTTACCTTCTGTTAGGCCCCGGGGTGAACTAGAGGCATGTCTGGGGGCCTTGGAGTAATGTGCCTATGAACTGAGGGCTTCCATGGCAACCATCTCCAGGTCAGCTTGGCTTCTGTCCACATCAAGATTCCTGGTGTGTGTGTGAGTGTGTTGGGGGAAGGGAGTCTAAGCAGTTAAGCACTTACTAGGCGCTGAGCCAAGGCCCTACTCCCCTCCATGCATCTCAGACTATTTATAACCACAAGAGTCATCAGGCCACTGCTCCCCCCATACATACACACTGTCTCTTAGACATGAGGAATGGGGCTGAGGCTTCCCATCAGTTGGTTAGCCTAGGCTTTGCCCCCACCTCCCAGTTAGAAAAATCAGTTAACATAAGGCTACTCCAAGCCCAGGTCAGAGGTAGGTAGCAGAGGATACAAGAGGCAAGGCCCTATCCAAGGAAGCTCTTGGGACACCTGAAGGACCTTCTTTGGGTAGCCACTCACCTCTCTCCACAGTCGCAACCCCCATGGCTGCTTGAGGGAGGGTAGCCCGACGCTCCCAGCGGCCTTCATCAGCAAGGAAGGCCTCCACAGCAGCTACTGGGCTCTGGGCCTCATCCACACCTCCCACTACTAGCACCTGCTTGCCCAGAACCACAGCAGCTGCACCAGCCCGGGCAGTGGGCAGGGGTGCCAGTGCTAGCCATGTGTGTGAGGCCATATCTAGTGTTTCAGCAGTGTCCAGGGGTAGCCCAGCACGGCCACAGCCCCCCAACACCAGCAGGTGCCCATCCTGGTGTGCCACTGTGCCATATACCCGGCAAGTGGGCATGGGGGGGAACACCTGCCAAGAAAAGGTTTGGCCACCTCCTGTAGCCATGTTGTTCACTGCCAGTGGCAGGCCATACTATCTGTTCAGGCTGCAGGGCTCATTGGGGAGACATGATGGGACTCATCTTGATTCTGCCAAGGCTGCAAGGGAGTATCTGACCAGTCCAGGGACCTTGCTTTTACCTGGAGGAGAGAGGAAAAACAAAGAATCAGGGCCACCAACACCCACCCCACTCAGAAACATATAAGCAGCTTGTAGCTGAGGGCAAGGGAGGCCCAAAACCACTCCCTCTGATTGGCACACCATGGTGGAGATCTCTGGAGTGGGAAGGACAGATCTCAGATACCCAGGCAGTGTCCCCCTTTAGTTCTAACAGCTAGAAGCAACTACTGGGTCTCTGTATGTGCATGGAGATAAGGTGACAAGAACAGGACCCTCCATTCTAGCATCCTTCTTTTTCCCTCAACAAGCCTGGCTTTTCATTAGAGGGGTACTGCTGAATCCTCCCCACACACTGCCACTGTATCCTGGGCAGCCTGGGATCCAGCCACCAGGGACCCCTACCTGCTGTCAGGAGCCAGACTCCAGGTTATCTCACAACACCATTAGGACTGTTCCACAGGGTTCAACCATGCTCATCAACAAAAGGCCAGGGACTCGGGGCTGGATGTCAAGGTTCCATTGCCCTTTGGTGTCCACCCTCAAGGGTCTGCCCAAGCCAGCACATTCGCAGGCACCCAGGAGGGCGACTGGTTTAGAGACTCCTATAAGCACAGGACTCTAGGGTCCCAGAGACCAGGGCGTTTCTTGCAGAAATGAGAAGCCACACTTCGGAATCCCCTAACAGCAGCAGACACCTCAAGTTCTTTAGCCTCCCCTCTCCCGTGGGGGCTCCACACCTAGATCTTGGGACCTGGTGGGAGGCCTCCTGGCCCCAAACTTCTAGCTCGAAGAGGTGGGGCGGGTCTGAGTGAGCGCGCCTAGGCTCCACGCCGCGAACTTCCCCCTAGCGTGCGCGGCTCCCGCGGGACTCACCGGCCTGAGCTGCGGGCAGCCGGG